GCACATTCAGCTAGCACTGGAAAACCTGTAGTTCGAGTCTCGGCGAGGTAACTGAATGTTCACGTTTTTCTTGCTTCGAAAACTCTAATGTCTTTATAAAAGGCGCAAATCTATAAAGTTTTGTATCCAGTACAAAAAGTCTAGTAATTTCTTTTTCTTTCTGCTGTAAAATTAAATTTTAAAATCTTCTGTTAGAACTCTTAAATTTCTGAAGCTTATGCGTCTTCTTCTAAACGATCCAAAGTTATGAAAACAGCAAAAGACTGCGGATAATAAATACAAAAAAAAAAAAAAAAAAAAAAATAAGACTTTAAAAGTTTTCCGCGTTTCGGATTCTTTCGATCAAATGAATAACAGTTAGCGATAGAAATTACTGTATAACTTAGCTGTCTTTTCACTAACATACGCAAGTTACCGTAATCTAATTTTATTTTTGTTAATTAAATGTCATTGCCTAAAGAATCGAAATAAGAATTTTTTCTCTTTTAATTTATTTCAAGTGCAAAATTTTCTTACAGATGGCTTGACAATTTAAAAACAGTGAGTAAACTATTATTAAGGAAACTAAAATTTTTAATATTTTTTTGTTACTATCCCTGACTTAACAAAGAGGTTTGGAACCTTATTTTGATTTGTGTATTGCAGTTTAATGCATTTTGTTCCCTAAAAAGAAACAAGCAAGAAAAAAACAGTTCTCCGGAATATTTGATAATTTACTTCAATAATTTAATCCTTACTCCTAAAATACTTTTTTAAGGCTGTAAGTTTTTTTTTTTTTTCGCATTTAATCCAAGTTAAAGCTCTTTGTTGCTTCGCTAAAGTTCTCTCCCTTTCATCCGCCAAAGAAAGGTTTTATTAGTCCAAAGGCGCTTTGTCCCTGAAGGACAATTGTAATCGTTTTGCGATTTTGCGTTGAAAACTTTAAAGGGCTGTATCACTTTTCAAATCGCTGCCACCAAATACTATCGTCATGTATTATATTTGAAGAAATTAAATAATGAAGAATCTGCATAAATATATGTATGTTTCTCGCATTGTGATAAAACCTTGAGCCATCCAGTTTTGAATGACGTAATGCTACTGCAAATATGGGCATCTGAAAGCCCAAATTTGAAACTTGGAATTTGTTTTATTATCGACTTCATATTTTGTAAAAGCCCACCAGCGGCCGAGCGGTAAAGTCGCTGAACACTGTTAGTTCGGGCCGAAGTTCGAATCCCGCGAACGGGCTGCTGCATGGTTGTTTTCTTGGTTTTCCTCATGTGTAACGTGTATATGAGCCAGTTTTCCTTAAAGAGGGGCTCACCAGCGACCAAGCGGTAATGTCGCTGAACACTGGTAGTTCGGGCGAGGTTCGAATCCCGCGAACGGGCTGGTTGCATGGTGGTTTTCATGGTTTTCCTCATGTGTAACGTGTATACGAGCCTGTTTTCCTTAAAAAGTCCTCCACAAAGGCATCCCTTCCTTAAGGCAGATAGCCCTCGAGTGCTTTGCCGTAATCTAATAAACCAAAACCAAACCAAACCCTTAGAATGTCCTCCACGAAGGCATCCCTTCCCTTAGGCATAGAGCCCTCATGTGCTTTGACATAATTAAATACACCATACCATATTTTGTAGAACGAATTTTTGATTAACTAACTAACGATTTTAAAGCGAGCAATGGCAACACTCTTCGGAGGAAAAACCTTTTATCTCCAACGCACGGAACTGTGTATCGGAAATTCATATGCTCATTTTAAAATTATTTTGCGACATTGCTTTTTTGAACTGAATTTTATGGCTTAAGTGCGAAGAACATGATATTTAATAAATAAAGTTTAGAAAAACGCCCCTTTGGACGTAATTTTATAAAGTCTGAAACTTTTCCGATTTTATTTTTTTTTTATTTTTTATTGTTGTTTCTGATTTAGCAGTTATAATAGAGAATGCTCACCGCCGTTCATTAAACGAATCTCATAAAGAAGAAAATATATGTATGAATTTATAAAAGCTATCTGTTATATGTAGAAGGATTTAATTGTTGAAGTGGATGAGACAAATAACATAAATAATAAAAAGGAATTTTTATTCACTGTTCAAACAACGACTAACTTTTCAGGCAATTTGATTTGAAAAACCTAACTTGCACCATTTTGAATTATGCATCAGGTTTTTTTTATGAAATTTAGTCAAAGGCTATGGACATTTTACTTCGCTTCCATAGCTTCAAAATCCCTTATGGCTAAGTTAAAAGTCGAAGTTTACTAATGTTACTGCGCAACCTAACGAAAATTGTTCTTATTAAATTTTATTTAGGAAGAAAATATCAAAATTTCTAGTCAATCCAAAATACAAGAGCACTTGTATAAAAGATACAAACGAGAACAGATGTATATAAGGAATTAGCAAATTCCCCAAGTCTTCTCTTGTGGTGTAAGCAAAGAAAGTCCATACAATACATATTCTTTGGTGTAAGTGATAGCACATTCAGCTAGCACTGGAAAACCTGTAGTTCGAGTCTCGGCGAGGCAACTGAATGTTCACGTTTTTCTTGCTTCGAAAACCCTAATGTCTTTATAAAAGGTGCAAATCTATAAAGTTTTGTATTCAGTGCAAAATGTCCAGTAATTTCTTCTTTCTGCTGTAAAATTAAATTTTAAAATCTTTGTAATGTTTGTATGCCAAAAATTAAATAAAAGAACTTTATTACTTCTGTATTTAATTTTCGTTATTAAGAAAGAGGATTTTATTTACGAAGAGCATTTTAATACAAATCTATACTCTGAATCCTTTGCTGTACATTTTATATTAAACAAAAGTATTGTTTAATAGAAAATCTTTATATTTTCTAATATTTTGAAAATTCAGTAATATGGATAGAGCAAAAATATATATAATTTATCTGATAGACTTTATATAGCAAAATTTTTCTCACCTTGAGGATTTGTTTTTCTGCCTATATGCCCTCTTTTTGAAAACTTTTGAAAACTACGGATTCGTCAGTTACACATAAGAAACATATAGATTATTTTCTGACAAAATGGATTTAGAATTAGAATAAAAAAGGTTTACTGAAATTATCTGTTAAATGCAAGTATGTTTACTTAGCTACAGAAAATTAAATAATCGACTTATATATAAAACACTTTATTGTGAAAATTGCTTTTGTTGAAATTTAGTAAGTAAAATGAACTATGCTGCAGTCTTTATCAAAACAACATACATTTCAAGTTGAATTGTAGGATCTAGTTTTTTGGCTATCATATAATATAACTATATCTACTTAAGTTCAGTTCTGTACCTTGAGAATTCCCGCACAGGTGTGAAAATGCACACAACTAGGGGGAAAATGTAAAAGACCATTTAATTTATCACAGACTGTTTAACAGATGGCAAGGTCTTACATGCTTAAAAACAACACCGACCCTTGCGGTTAGAACTTATAAGATAATATAGCACTAAATATAAAGGTAAGGAGTAGTGCGAGACTACATAATTCTATTTAAATTAGCAGGTTGACTCAGAAAACCTACACCGGCAGGATAGTAACTTGATGACAAGAACGCGTAGCCGCTTCTGAAATTCACATCTGGTAGAAACCAACAAACGTGCGCTCACAGTAGCGAAATCACGCTCTGTCTAACCTTTTTGCTCCGGCAGTTTAAATACTTTTGTTCACTCTACTTAATTTACATCCTGGCGAGAAATCGCGAAAGGAAATAAGAGAATTTGGGTAAGGCTCACAAAGTAAAATAACTATTAGTAAAAAGAAGCAGAACTCTAGAGGATGATCATGTTAATTATCAAATTAACACGTCAAAAAGCTCTACTCAGGCATACCTTTGGTTTTGATACCATGCGGTCTTTTTTGTGTTCATGAAGAACGTTTAGAGGCCATTTTCCATTAAAATTAGAAATTATAAGATTAATATGAATTTAGGAAATATTTTTACATTAAGTTTATAAACAAGAGAAAAGTTATGTAATAAAAATAAATGATATAATACACCAATAGCTTCTCTATTTCTGATATTTTAAAGTTTATGCGAAATGAAAATTAGTTTTTATTTTCTTCTTATATGTCACTGAACTCTCGAAACCATCTGCGAACACCAAAAAATTTCATGTTTGTCAATGTTTAGAAGGCTGTGTAATCAATGTTTAGAAAGCCTGGAACAATTTGTACCTCTCAGAACATTTGAAAACACGATGTCGAACACAAGTGCAAAACATTTATTAACATTTATTATTGCTGTAAAAACTTCGAAATACAATGAACGTTGAACAAATTACTAATGAAATTCACTTTTTTTAAATGCAGATTATTGCTATGGAGATTTATTTATACGATTTATTTATAAGCTGTTTAGAGACAGAAAACAAAATTGTGCCTTGATCAATTAAATAACTCTAAAAAAGAGAGTTTTTCATGTCATTGTACATTCTGAATCCTTTTCTATACAATTTATGATAAGGCGAATATTACTGACTTATATTTTTCAATATTTTACAAATTTAATTAGATGTATAGAGCACAAAACTATATAATTTACTTATAGGTCTCGATATTATAAAAATTTTCTCATTTTAAAGATTTGGCTTTGAGCTTCTGGGAGTATATAATGTGTGTCTTTTATGCTAATATGATATGAATTTTACCAACTTACTCGTTTTACTTTTCATCTTTCTGATTTACATTTAAAAATGACCGAATACACTATTGGTAGAAGGATTGCATTTGAACATGAATATTTATTTTTTGATTTATTTAAAAATACGTTATCATATGTTTATAAGGTATTTCTCCCGCCCTCGTAGCCTGCCTTCGTGGTATGGTGGTATGCACTTTGGGCGCATATGCCAGAGGTCCGTGGTTCGATTCCCGGCGAAGGCTTTGCTCATTTTTCAATCTCTCCTTCCAAAAATACCTAACGTCTCTACATGTTAATAAATCTTGATGGAAAAGAAGAATAAGAAAAGAAGTATATTAAATTAAGATTAAATATTTTTCTTCAACAGAGGCAGCTCCTCGAACAGAAACAAAAACAGAAACGCCAGATCCCTGGAATGGTCCATGCTTCAGATTCCAGACCTCAGACAGCAAGAGCCTGGCGCGGTGGAAATGAAGAATCGAAGCCTCTGATGACAGGCTACAGTGTCAACAAAAATAATGAAGGTGTAGTGCTGTGTAAGTATAGCCCCTTTTTTATCATATTCCAAAAATCACATTAAAGCAGACATGTCTCTCTCTTTTCATTAATTAAGGTCAGATAATTTTATATCTTACTTAACTTCCAATTTTATTACCAATCAGGTTACGACGGGCCACTACAGTATACAATGTCTCCTAATAACCCGGATGCAATGCCTGCTATTCAAGTCACATCACAAATCATTCAGTCCAATGCCCCAGAAACAGAGGAATTATCTCCAAATCCAGAAGGTAAGATAATTAATTTTAATTTAATATTTTTATAAGAAGTAGAACTCAAAATGAGACACTAAAGTGAGGTTAAACAGTTTCTTTTCATAAACAAATCAATTCTAATAAAACAGGCGTTTGTTGGGCTAGTGTTTGGGGATCCATCTGTCCAAGAAGAATCATGATGAAACTAAACTACGGAATTTTTCGCAATTCTTGATGCTTTAATATCATAGTCACATTATAGGTTTTTAGAATGAGTTTGCGAAAGAGAATGTAACGAGGGATTTACAAAATGAAAAGTGATTATCATAAATTTCTTTACTTGATATCAAAAGTGGGAGTTGAAAACCATCCACGAGGTAAGTTCAGTAATAACTTTTTACAAAGTGTTTATGCGCTGAGAAATTGGAGATATTAATGGCCTCATAAAGAAGAGGGCCTGGACGAAGATTAAAACCTATAATCTCCTCTTCGCTACCAGATATTCTTATAATCCGAATCATCTACAGCCAATAACTAGCTGTTGTATACCCTAATACTTGATATCTCGAAATAGTGACATTTCTTAAAACAATAGACCGCATTGTCTAAGAGAATTGTATTTACATATACCTCATCTGTTCTGATTTGGTAAATAAATATTACGTTAGGACTTAAAAATTGTTTTATTGTCAAATACACCCACAGCTTTTGAAAATAGAATAGGTGTTTGCATGGCAGTGGTGTATAAGCAAAACGATATTTTTAGACATTGTCTATCTACGTGTAAGGATTAAGAAAATTCTACGTGATATAGTTATCTCAAATCTGTGTTGTTTTTGCATATACATAGATAGAGTAATGTGTGTGTGCCCGCGTGTAAGATATAACAAAATAACGATGGCTGCGCTAAGAAACGATTTTTGACCTCAAATTCTAAATTTGGTGTTCTGCCCCCTAAGTTCATCTGTTCTCCCAAATTCGAGATCTTTCCACGTTACATAAAATCCTAAAATTAATCGATAGCAGTTTAGCTGTAATTATGAACCTACTTATTATGAATACTCTTCGCAAACAACTACGTCATTCCTTTTCGTAACTTTTACCCTGCTAACATTCACGCTGCTTTGCTTTCCTGTCTAAGATGCTTACGTGGTACTTTTAAAAAAAAATTTAAAATTTTGAACCGGTGGTTTAAAAATTATATCGTAATAAAGTAATTGGATAAGTTCATTGTCTACAAAAATGATCTGATGTGAATTATAATGGAATAAAATTATGTTTTGAAACGACCACATTTGGAGGTTTTTGTTTAAGCGCATTCTCTGGCTATTACTCGACCTGCAGCTACAGCGCATCAAAATCTCCACCCCAGCCATGACGACTGCAACGCGAAAAGTATCATAGTCGTCTAAGCAACTTTAAAATATTACACACACACACACACACACAACACCGACACACATATATTATAAAATTATTAATTTTAATTCGACATTCCTATGTAATGAGATCAGAATCATTGCAAGATAATCTTATAAAAATTAGTTTAAATTAATGATAGAATCTAATAAAACCATAAAAATGATAGAATTTAATAATTAATTAAATTAATCTCTATTTCGGTCTTGCAAAACAGAAGGCTTCTTTCTTAAAATTGCTGTACTCTTTCTCGCCATTCAATGTATTCTATCAATGAGAAAACTTGACACTCTCTCTCTCCAAATTTTTATTGCAATCCAAGCGTCCTTCCATATTGTGTCAAGGCCCATCCACACGAGGCGCTCCCACGTAGTTGACGTAACTTTTTGACGCCGCGTAATTCGTAGACGCAGAATACCGTAAACTGAGGTACGCTCCGTTCAGCTTTTTAGCCCGTGACGCGCGCGTATCGCCAATAGCCGACCGAGTTCTATCACGTGTCTAAGCAGAAACCTCTTGCTACCGTTTCATAGGCGGAGCACACAGAATGAGTTTTGCTTAGAAATATAACTGTATACAGAATAAAATAATCAGCAATTGTTCACGCTTCTTCTTTCAGATTCTCAACGTACATATAGTTCTTAAAATTCTCATTAAAGGGAAAACTGTTACTTATAAGCAATGCTCCGACCATAATCCAATTCTTCCCTATTTATAAACATAACCCGTAATAGGAACTAAATAAATTACAGTTTTCTACGAAATCAAAGTTTCTGCCTACAAAATTCTCCTATAATTACAAATATTGGCTATTTATGTGTCATAAAAAGCTCTATAAATATCCCAAATTAAATTACAAACCAAAAACAACTCAGCTATAATAACTTCTAAAAAAAGCAGTTGACTGGAAAGAGATCCCTAAAATACAATTCGAATTGTGGAGGAAAGTTACAACTTTGGTCGTACATCATCATTTATTGGAAGTTTAATTAATACCTTGCGCGACTTCACTTGTACAATTATTTTTACCCACGGCACGACTATCACAGATGCACTGATGTCAGCACACGCTTGGTGGCGGAGGAGGGAAGGTTGGGCAAGTTCGCAGCCTCAACCGTAACCGATATAATCAGTTAGCTTTCCTATTTGAAAACTTCTTATATTAAATAATCAGGTATCTTTATTTTCTTATTTTACCTGGTATTTTTTTTTTAATATTTATTTAACATGTTGTGGCAGTTGCCAAATGAAATCTTATGTAAAATATACTGCTCTATCTCTTTATATCATCATCTATAATTCTCTCCTTTAATTTTTACTTTATTGTCATATTTTAAACATGCACATAATTTCTCATAAACTGTCCAACAAGTTTTAACTCATTCTAAATCAAAAATAATAAAAAGAAAACAAAAGAATCAAGGGAGAGCGAGTTAAAAAAATGGAAGGTTGGTTTTATTATATGGTGGATGGTGTATATAAAGAGAATACGTATTTTAATTCCTTTATATGTACTTATTTTAAACCATTTTATAACCAATTTTTTCATACGATAAGAAATCTGCAAGTCTGTCAACTGGAAAAATAAAAACTGGTCGATACTCCTCCTAAGGCTTAAAATAAAATAATAAACCTCCACCCCCCCCAATATAATATAATTATAAGTCATCCTACTTATTGGTAATTCAATCGAAAAGTTTAACCAAGTACAAAAAATAAAATTAAATAATTATAAAATCAAAATACCAAAACATAATTTTTTGAATAAAAATTAAAAAAAAATTTAATATGTGAAACTGTTTCAAATTCAAGTGTCATTCACCGCAAGTTTAAAAAAGTTTAATTTGGAACTTGAGTGGATGAATGAAACATTTTAATGTACTATTAATTTGACAAGATATAGGGGAGAGTGTGTGAGCTAATATTAGGAATTTAATATTTCCGGATATTTTCCGCAAACGAGCAGTAAAAAAAAAAAAAAAAAAAATCTATCTCTTTTGAACGGTCGCTCTAAGTAATCTTATAACCCATTCTGCCATTTTTTGCGGTTTTGCCTCTGCTTAATAATTGCACATAATAGTAAAGTTTCAGCTATAAAAAAAAATCATCTGATTCGGACAACTTGCTGCAAACATACAGAAGAAAACGCGAAGTAATAAGATAAGCTCTGTTATTATTACAGCGTCACGTGATTTTGCGCAAATAATTCTATTGGTTAACGCACTCTTCGAAAGCGTACTCGTTTGGACGCTTTTACGCTGGTAACGTAAAAGCGCGTTCGTCAGCTACGTTTCGAGTGTACTCGTGTGGACGGGCCTTCAAACGAAACTTCTTATGAAAATGGGATACTAATACGCAGTTAAAGAGTATAAACAGTAAGTAAAAATTAAAGCTACATTTTCTGGCCCGTGTGAAATATAAATGTGGTATACGACAATTTAAAATGTATAAATATCTACCGTTTTGTTTACACGAATTATTGTCGAGTTTTTAAATGAATTTTTTTTTATTTTTAACCAGTCATCAGTTTCAAAATTTTTGGAAACTTTATTGTTTTGGGCATTATATTAGCCTGTGTCTATTTTAAGGGGAATTTCTTCGAGTATTTGAAATTTACTAATTTAAATTTTGAAATGTTTATTTTTCTTCGTTTTACTGCATTTTGGGAATTTCATTCAAATATACGAATGAGAAGATCATTCTTTAATTGTTGACGATTTAATGGAAAATAGTAATTTCCCTTAAATTTTAGTCTTCTGCTTCCATAGGGTCAATAGTAACTAATTTTCATTCATATGTGTTTCTTATTAGTTTGAGTTTTTATTATGAATTACATTACAATTTAAAGCTTCTACTATACATTTTTCATTATTTAAACTCAATTTTCTAAAGAAATAAATTTTTATAATATTCATTTTGCAACAGTTTTTGATCTTCATTTCCTAGGGTATAGTCGAAATTAAGAATTAATAACTAAATTTAAATTTCTAATCTTGCCAGCGGTAGCACTAGATATTTCCTGTTAAAAGTCCATTTATGCTTTTATGCTTATTTACTAAATATATAAATTTATAGGTTTTTAATTATGAAAGATTTGGATTGTACATGAGATTTAGAAATATATGTAATTCTGTAACTTTCTGTTTAAATAAATTATTTGAAATTAAAATTTTATGGAGGTAATCAATAATGCCCTTTCAATAAATAAAAGAATTTAGTATTCATATCAGTTTTAGTAGCAAATGATTATTTTCTCATTAATATTCTGATTCTCAAATGTTTTCCATATAATTTCCATATTTTTCAGACTAGAAGGTTGGATGTTTAGGATTCATTTTTGTGCAGTACTGAATGTAAAATATGACAACACACATCATTCTACAGCCTAAAACAAAATAAATAATAGATCTAAATTTGGCTATTTTTTCAGATATTATGTAAGGTGTTACAAAAACGAAATTTACTATTTATGCTGTTCTCCAGAAGTTAAGGAACAAATACTTATTCGTTTTATTTTGCAAAAGTACATAATAAGGAAGTCAAAGTTTGCAGAAGAGATGAATGATAATAGGAATAAACAGTACACGAAATCGAAAAGTATCACCTTTTGCTTAGGA